ACAATACTGGAGAGTTAGTCTAAGCTATTGGAATAAATAGTTTGCATTGCCCGAGAGTCGTTATGTGGATGTTTTAAGAAGTTCAGAACTGTATCTTTATACACAATACATCAGGGCCGTTATTCTCGAATCGTTCGTAGCCCTAAGAATTCTTAACTTTGATCGTAGCCAATGTGTTAAGAATGGGCTTAAGAAGTTCGTAGGGCTACGAACGTTTCGAGAATAGCTAGCCTGGTTCTGACGTGATGTAGGGTTTGACGTTCTGCTGAAAACTATTTCGCTCATACAGTCTCGTGCATGAGCATGGCGGTTTGCACAAGTACGTACTTTTATCGCAGCTGGCACAAACTCTGTGTGGTACCATACCGCAGTTCAACCACATGAATACCCTGCTCAGTCACATATAGTACACTGACTACGGGCCGACCATGCACATGTGTTACCGCACAGATGCCGAGACTCAAGGTTGGTGTTAATAGCAAGATCCATCTTTCACGTCGTTTGCTATGACGCACGGCCAGGTCATCGTCCTACCGCTTTCCTCTACGTATGGAGAGCGAAGTGGGTAGGGCAGGGCAGGGTCCAAAGTTTCTACCCGGGTAACCCGCCCCCTATTACCCTACCTTAACCGGATAGCCGTTACGTTAATTCCTGACATCAAATTTGCAAGAAATGGCAAAGTATTATTTCAATATCTTAACCATGTATTATATTCAAAAGAAGTGACTGTGAATCATATCTAAATCTTCAAAGACAATACAACATTTTAATCATGAAAGAGTAACATATAACATCGTTTTAATGTATTGGTCACATGATCATAACGAGTCCGGGTATTGAGACGGGTATCCGGGTCCAACTCATTACCCACCCGTCCTTGGTATACGGGTTACCCGGCCCAGCCCTAGAAGTGGGTATTCTAAACAGTATAATTTCGAACCAGAATTCAAGAATTATTAAACGGATGTCCGTTGAGTTTACCATGGTTCTAACACCCATCTGTATGTAAAATAACAAATTATCCGATACCATCACGCAATTTGTCAGGACGCACCCACTCAACCTTGGAAACTGCTGAATGCGACTTCAAATCCAAAGTTTCATGCATAGTTATAATTTTTACAAAGAAGGATTTGTGAATGTGTCCTATATTACATCGCCACAAACATATTGTTTAATACCTATTCCCCAACGTACCTTGGAAAGGCTTCCCAATGCAAATCATATAGGTTAACATCTATAAAGGGAAGTTCATAAAAGCGCATAAGTCGTTCAGACGACAGAGCTCGTTAATAATCACTCAATTCTCACCTGTTTGTTTGGATTTGACACGTGCCGGTACAATTATCAGATAATGGCCACTTCTGCTTCCATTTCGAGAATTAACGCGCACGAGAAACTCGTGCAACGGAAGTGGTAACCATGACATCACGTGACGTTGCTGGCGAACACCTGCGTGAAATATACAACGCCTCAAACCTGATTTGACATGTGTTTGTGTAAACCATCTAAGGTAACTTTGAAGCACGTATTATCGGTTAAGAGATTCTGAACAATGCATTTTTGGTTTTTGGTTATCTGACAATTGTGTGATCAGATATTCCTTGGTCACCTCCTATGATTTAAGACTCCCTGCTCATTTCATTTGAACGTCATAATTTTGATCCACGTGTGGACAAAATTAACCGACAGACCTAACATGTTAACTGCGACCAAGGTCAAGCCTCTTGCTACTTTGGTATGGTTTCTTCAAAATCCTAGAACTGTTGACTGCGTCGATGAATATTACACAAGAGTTTAAAAAAACAAATACATCTCGTAATGTAGGCCTACCTCAAAAACACCTACGGCTTCCTTGTTGTGTATTAGACACGTGATCGATATGTTCGAACCCTGGATCGACCTGATTAAATATGTCTGTGAGCACAATACCCTTACTTGAATGTTTCACCAAAATGATATACGTCTAGCCGTGCATCACCTACAGGTTTGCCTTCGTCGTCCATCCTCGATAATCTCCAGGTTATACGTTACGATCACTCTCCACTATACCCTGGATGCATCCACGGCTTGGCCCGATGATTGTATTACTTCCCTTGGCTGACTTTTTATCCAATCAGGTGTCTACGCTGGGAAGTTGAGCGTACCACTCACAACTCACTTTCGCTTCTTAAATTATCTAACCGTTTAAACTTGGCAACACAATTGATGTAGAGATACTCTGAAAGAGGTAGGAGGAGTTCTTTCATATATTTTTTAAAGTTTCAGATCTGTCAATTTATCTGTATGATTTCCCCAAAAATATGAGTGGCACTGGTAACAAACCCTCGCGACTGCGACCGCTATCTCTGTTGACACTGGTAAGCGCGATATAACGGCGGCTTAGTTGATTGGCTACTGTGAGAATGCGGAGCCAGCAAAGGGAGGTAATATAATTATCGGGTATATGGAGGTAACCATTTTATCAGTTACACACACAAGTCAATACTAGTAAACATAACTCTTACCAATAGTTTGAACTATAAATAAACATGTGCTGTAATCCATAAGCCGTTGATGCATCCAGGGTATAGTGGAGAGTGATCGTAACCCTAGAGATTATCGAGGATGTTCGTCGTCTGGCTGATGTGCCATATGATACAGTGAGTACTGTTCAAAGCGGCCATAAACCGAACTCTCTCACTCACTAAAATCATATATGTCCCAACAATTTCGCCACAATTTAAAATGAATAATAGGAATCACACATCGATTCCCGACAGGACGTCTTCATAAATTGAACCAAGGCAATCTAATGTGATTTTTTTGTGAAGGAGTGCCATCTGGATATTTACTATTATATTCTGAATACCAACAGAGAATATTTTAATAATTATTCATAGAAACAAATTGCCCTGTCAGTGAACAATGATATATAAAACCAGCCTTGTATAATGACACATTTTCATCAAAGGCTGTTTCTATTTGTTTTGTGTTCTCATTAGTCAAGAGCAGTTCAGTATTATTTCCTCTGCTGTTTGTCTATACATCAGGTAACTGCTGAACTGAACCTAGAATTTTGCGCTTCAAATTAGGCTGGTGCTTATTACTGCCTCAGAATCTAATCACCGACTCGCATCGAGTGATTTTTGCTGAGTCAGTACCGTCATTTACTGTATCACTCACATAATGCCGACTTCCGGGCACACTTCGATCCAATTCATTCACTCACTCACTCGTGCAAGTAAAGATAACACCAAAGTAAATTGAACCACACGGGCTTGTAACGCAACATAATTGCGTCAAAGTATATATTATCAGGTGTTAGAGAGGCACCCGCACAAGTGCCGACAAAGTTATTGATTCATTAACCTGTGCTATGCCGTCTCCATCCTTTCTCGCACACTTGGCTGTCCCTTTCTCTGCACCCCTCCCTCGTAAGAAATAGTGAACTGTGTCAATATTTTAATGATAGTTTGTTAAACAACTTCTTTATTTTTGGGACATTAATTCTGCAAAAACCTCACAGAGTTGGTCTGACGTTTTGGTTATGATCAGTGTTTAATTGAGTATTTTATGTTTATTAGTTTTCGAGTTAGATTGCAATTCACCGGTCCGCTTTTGTGCCAAACGGACTATAGTGCCAAAGAATGTATTCTAGGTACATGGACCACACCGAAACGGTACACAGCAACGACTTACGTCACTCAAGACTTACCCCTTACATTACGTGGACACCAGACATGTCTGTTACAGTGTTCAAAGCGATGTTAGACACAGCAGTCATATGACATAAAAATGTTCTCTTGGGATGGTTACAAACGATGCTTTTCTATCTTATTCGCATTCAATTGCATAAAAATATTTTCTAAACTCGATTAGAGTAATTTGAGATTGAATTGGAGTAATGTACCTTCAGAAATGATATTGAGTAGGGAAATTGAGTACAAGCTCCTGGGACTGTAAGCATAATTATAGTTTTGCGTGACAGCGATTGTATGTCTGTGTAACAACTAAATGGTCGCTGCATGCCAATGGGCTTTGTTGCCTAACATATAGATTAACAGTGAAATGAGGTAGAATCCACATATATCTGTTGTGGCGAGACTAAATCAACTTAAGACGATGGTATGAACATTATTTGAATATCTCAGCATATGTTGTTCAAGATAATAAACTGAAGATCTGTTCTGCATAATGTAAGAAACAACAAATAGCTTAAAATTCAAGATCAATTTAATGGTTAATAATTATGTTAAATCTTGTCCGAAAAAGCCAAATGTTTGAGAATAAAATACACGTTTTCAAACGTGTTACACACTCGTTTGTGAAATATCCAAACCACAGTCCAAAAGGTCCAAAAAGTATAAAATGTCCGAAAAGTTCAAAAATGCAAAAAGTCACCAAACGTTTATATATATATATAACTCAGTGTAATGAATTATATATGACACAGTAAGAGATTGCAAGATGCCACTCTAAGCGTCCATCTTGACACAAAACACTCTCCTCAAGAATCCAAGATCTAGCAAGAAGTCACTCCAAGCGTCCATCTTGACAGAGAACAGGTTCCCCAAGAATCTAAAACTTAACAAGATATCACTCTTAGCGTCTATCTTGACTACTTTCTAAATGGCGTGTATTCACATCTTGACGAAGAAACCTCTCCCAAAGAATCCAAAAGTTAGCAAGATGTCACTATAAGTGTCCATCTTGACACGGAACACTCTCCTCAAGAATAAAAGAAGTTGCAGGATCAGATGTTTGACAGGCATTTAGAAGTTGGTAGGGTAATACCTGATGAAGGGGCAAGTATTAGCCCAGAAACGTCGTGTGTAAATAATCAAGAAGTTGCACATCAATATCAAGTGTGTTGTATTAAGTTGCAGGATGTCACTCTAAGCGTCCATCTTGACACGGAACACTCTCCTCAAGAATCCTGACACACGTGACAGGAAGACTCGTACTGGGGACTAGGCCGGGGTGTCGTCATCATCGAGGTTGATATCGACAAGGTGAGGGTCATCACGGAGGACTGGAGTAGAGAGAGGGGCAGGGACAGAGGTGGGAGGGACGGGCAGCTCAGACAGGGGCTCAAGGATGGTCATCTTTTCCCAGTAGGACGCTGAGAGGGAGGGAGAGAAGGACATGTACAGAGTGACGGAAAGTGGAAGTAATGAAAGAGGGCACCTGTTGAGTAAGAGGGTAAGAGTTATGTTTACTGGTATTGAGTTATGTGTGTAACAGATGAAATGGTTACCTCCATATACTCATGAAATAAAAGACACACAATTTCAGGTCTACAATAACTCTATAAAATAACTGAATCCCTAAGACACCCACTTGGCGAGGAGGGGCCCAGATGTCAAAGTTCAAAGGGAACCTGATCACGTGGTCAAGAGCTGTCGGGAAAAAAAGATTGAGATTTGTATAATAACCATAAGCCCAAACCGGTTTAAACATATTTTTATTCATAAAAATGAATTGGGATTGGTGAACAAGCTTCACAGCTTATATCACTACATGTGTACATATTATATCAAATGCAAGTACCACTATCATCCAAGTAAACATAAATAGAGAGTTACGGTTTGGTGTGTCTAACAAGCCATTTGTAGAAATATAGACCAATTATGAGAAGGTTATTGTTAAGTTAAGTTAATTATTTTTCTGTGAAAGTTTCAAGCGTTGTGTCTTGATGATAAAATCGTGGACGGATTCAACTATTTTCTGGTTTCCTTTGTTTCCGTTCATATTGGTATCCAGGTTATAACCGGTAGTATACAAATACATATTAGTTCCTATCTGAATATAGTTACCGCAAGTAAAAAATAGTGTAAGGCGTTTTCACTCTGATATCCACAAGAGCAACATGGACTGTCTATTAAATGCCCAATATACTTATCGGCGTCTAGGTCGCTACAACCGAGCCTGAGGCGGCAGTGAACGATTTGACAAAATCGAGTGCGATAATTTAGGTCAACATAATTCATGTTTTCGGTTTTTTGTAATTAGGTTTTTAAATTCTGAGAGACTACATGACTCTTTGGAATGTGGTAGAGAATTCCATAAATGTATTGTGTATGGTAAAAAGGATTTAGCGTAAAGGGCAGTTCGATTGTAAATTTCCTTGTATTTTAGAGCTGTTTCTTAAATTATTACTTGTAGTTCCGGAAACGGAGTTTGGGATCAAATTACAAGGATAGTTTGGGAATTGGTTATTGTACATTTTAAAGCCAAAAAATTAGTTTTTGACAGTACCTCTATGTTGCAAGGACTGAAATTTAATTTCACGATATCATTAAAGTATATTTGGAAAAGAAGTGGTCCAAGGACTGAGCCTGCTAGTACAGTTTTCTTGTCAGACTTATACCCGTTAATTGCTACCCGTTGTACTCTATTTTCTAAATAACTTTCGAACCATTTCAATAGTTCGTCTTGGATACCATAAGTTTTCAGTTTATATATAATTCCTCTGTGCCAAACCTTATCAAATGCTTTACTTATAACGCAGAAGACTGGTCTAACCTCTTTTCCTTCGTCAAGAGCTTTAGCTATGAAATTATACAAATAGGTTTATTGATTTAATGTGGAATCTCCTGGCATGAATCCTGATTGTAAATTTGTCAGTATGTCGTTATCTCTTAGGAAGTTGAAAACATATTTAAATACACATTTCTCAAAGACTTTCGATAAAGCAAGATGTGAGTGCGCGGGACCATAGTTTGAACATTCATGTACGCTATGTTTCTTGTGAATAGGTATTACCGATGCTTCTTTCCATGAACAGGGGAAAATAGATTGGCTTAGCCATAAGTTGAATAATTTCGTAAGTATAGGTGTTAAACAATTTGCCGTATATCTAAGTACTTTATTTCCTATTCCATCCGGACCGGACGCTTTTGATGTGTCCAATGACAATAAAATATCTCTGACGTCATCGTGGGTTAGAGTAATGCTAGAGTTACAAGGAACCCGGGCAACAAGGAGCCTGGTTTTGGATCTTCAATAGTCGACTGAGCAGTAAAGTATAGGTAGTTATTGAAACCGTTTTCGATTTCTTCGGGGTCGTTATAGACTGTATCGTTGAAAATAATTGTTGAAAATTGACTGTCATCGTTGCGTGATTTAATGAACGCTTTAGTCAGGCGCCACCACATTTGGTACCGAGCGAGTTATTAACGTAATCTTCCGTTTTAAACACGAATATTTGTTTGGCAGTTCTGATAGCAGAAGTAACTTTATTTCTTGCTGATCTGAAGTTGAAATCTGAAGCCCACTTGGTTAGATGGTTACTTTTCTTTGCAATTTTATGTAAACGATTACGTTTCCGAATCAAAGATCGTAACTGACTCGTCATCCATAGCGGATCTGCAGGTCTAATAGTAACAGTCTTAATTGGAATATGTTCATCGCAGATTTCCGTTTTTACGGATGTCAAATCACTTGCAATCTTATCTATATTATTGGAAGAAAATATACTTTCACCGTCAATGTCATCGACACTCCTGTTCATACTTTCTGTATCAGCTAACGAATAGTTATAAACTTTCCTCTTATAGTTTATAGTGAGGGGAACTGATTCTTTGATGGTCACAAATATCGGACAATGGTCACTGCAGATAGGGTCAAGAACTCCGGATTCAATTACTGCTTTAAGATTCGAGACAAAAAATAATCTATCAATGTACTTGTATCTGAAGTCATTCTTATTGGTTCTCATATAATCTGTTTAAGATCATACATTAATTGAAGGTAATCTATTTTTGTTCTATTGTCCCGAAGGGCGTCAATATGAAAGTCACCAACAACGATGGTGTACATGTTCAGGTCAACTGCGTTACCGACAGATTCCTCAATCAGATTCCAGTAAGCCGGGCTTTTATCTGCTCGATAGACGGTACCGATTAGGTAAAAACGGTTTTTACATTTTAACTGTACCCACACCGCCTCAAGCCCGGGAGTGTCAAGACTGTCCATGTGTTTGACGTGTAGATTACCTTTGACATAGATCGCGACACCGCCACCTCGAGTTTGCCTATCCTTCCTGAATGGTAGGTATGGTGGCTTATCGCAATGTCGTGTCTTGCTATCGCCATATCGTGTCTTGCTATCGCCATATCGTGTCGTGTTATCGCTATTTCGTTTTTGGGCTGTATCGCAATATCGCTATATCGTGTCGCCATATCGCAATATCGTGTCGTGATATCGCTTTGTCGCAATATCTCCTAGATTTTTCAGGGCGATAAAGCGATGGCCCGAATGAGCCACCATAGGTAGGTGGTATCCAGGTAAAGTAAATCAATTTTGTCTTTCAAACTGCGTACGTTCAAATGTATTATTTTAAGGTCTAATAATTCGGCCCTGGATTAGGATGGATATCGCCACAGCAGAGTAGGATGAGAGAGACAATTACAGATACGCGAGGACTGTAGAGACACAAGAACTTGAAACTGTGTATGGATTTAATAAATCGGACTGCATATTTTGAATGTAGTTTTACAGCAAAGGAGCCCACTGCCTGCCTGTACTGATCAATATCAGCTATAATCAAATATTATATACATAGTCGAATCAGGTGGGACAGCGGGCTCCAGTGGGTGATTCAATGGAGGTAGACACACACAAACCGAACTAAAGTACCTAATACACGTAAACACGTTTGTTGTAATTTGATGTAGGTATAGGTCACTGTGTAACATGATTTTGAATGAAACAATGAAAACAAAGAAAAGAAGAAAGAAAGGAGGATAAAGTAAGCCATAACCATGATATCGCTTACTAAAAAGACACACACAGATACACACACACACACACACACACACACACACACACACACACACACAGAGGTATTTGCAAGTTCTACTTGCATACTCTTATATATAAGAGTGTACATTACACACATGCTACACACATTACGAGAATGTATGCTACACATATACCCCACACATTACAAGAATGTATGCTACACATATACCCCACACATTACAAGAATGTGAACTATTAAATGTATTTGCAGCAAAATATGAACTATCAAATGTATTTGCAGCAGAATAAGAACTATTGAATGTATTTGCAGCAGAATAAGAACTATAGAATGTATTTGCAGCAAAATAAGAACTATTAAATGTATTTGCAGCAGAATAAGAACTATTGAATGTATTTGCAGCAAAATAAGAACTATTAAATGTATTTGCAGCAGAATGTACATAAGACATATTGTCGGCAGTATTCCCTGGTAGGCAGCTGTTGGGCTGTCCCGCTGCTTCCCACTATCTCCCAGGAGTGGGATAACGCAATACCTGATGGCGGGGACATGGGATATAATCTGTCTGTGGGGACAGACAAGTGTGTTTGTTCTGTAGTACTACGAACAGCCATTTTACAGCTTTATGATGGCGGCTGGCGAGATGAGGCGCCCCGATCTGAAACATTGTAATACATCTTGCTATAACTCTTTTGATGGTATGGTTGTCTTAGTTGTGCTTTTTAAATTATGTTTTCATTTCTGTTTGGGGTGTATTTTATTAAAAGGTTATAACAGGTTTATTATCTACTTTCAATATTTTCATGCTTCCTTATTTGCGAAGGAATCTAATTTGTGTTTTGACAATAAGAGTGTCTTGATTTGACAGTTATAGTTTCATTTTGTTATAAAGAAAGTTAATTATATGTTTTTCACGTTGTAGTGTCTTAATGCTTTCAAAGGGAGTTAATTTAGTCCAAACATTAGATAGTTCTAGGAAAATATATGTTAACTTCAGTGGCATTTTAGAAGTTGGGAAGAACAATATCGACAAACGTTATGGATGACAACTTCTTTTATTGCGTATCACTCAAAGTTTGTAAATATTAAATATATATTCTGTATTTTTTCCTGTATATTTTTTATCCAACAATAACAGAATTACCACATATGCTTTTCCACAACTCTTAATACATCTTCTTGAGACATCAATATCTGAAACCACCTCCGTGGTGTAGTGGTTAGAGCGTCCGCCCGGAGAGCAGAAGGTCGCGGGTTCGATCCCCGACCGCGTCATACAAAAAGACGTTGAAATATGGTACTTGTTGGTCCCTGCCTGGCGCTCGGCATTAATGGGTACAACAAGGACTGGTCGGCTCGGAGTCAGTATAATGTGTCTGAGTGGGGTATTCATGCTTCACTGCAGCATGGTATCTCAGTGAGCTAACACTATAAAACC